GTCCGATCTAGTACTCAGACCCTGAACACCCTGTAGACCCATCCCTAAAATACTAAAAAAAAAAAAAAAAGGGGGGGGGAGGGCAGATTATAGTATTAGATAAATCCATCTCTAAAGAAACCTGATAGGTTAGATTGAGGAGTAGGAATTGAGATTGTTTTCTTGGTCTTCAGCTTTGAATAGGTAGATGGGTAAGATCTTCAGCTTCTGTGACTAGATAGATCTTATGCATCCACCTACCCACGAGGTGAAGCATATAGAAAAAATAAGTTTGGGAAGGATAGTGGTGTGTCCAGGGTGGGTAGATTGCTTTAGGAACCTATTGGACACCAACTAAGCTACTGGATATACATGTAGGGTTGCAGATAAACTTTGGGAAACATCAGCCGATGATTTAAATCACTGAAGTTCAGTGATTGTCCAGAAAGAACCATTTAGAGCAGGATTCTTAACCTGGAATCCATAAGTGATCTTTGTTATAGGAAAGTTTATAGCTTCCAACAGATACTCTAAAGGGACAAATGTTTCTTGAAAAGGGGCAGGAGACAAAGTCCTGAATATATGCATTGTTTAAATGACAAGGGGAACCACTGGGCAGAGAAAATAGAAAAGGAACAAAAAGATGAGATCATGATAATAAAACCTGCAGACTGATCAGGCAATGGTGCTGAAACCAAGAGGTCAGATTAGATGAAGATCAAAGAATTAGTTGGCTTGGTAGTTAAAAGATTAATAAAATTATTCCTGGTCAGCAAGGTAGAATTAAGTGTATTTTACTTAATGAAGCTCCCCCTGAAACACATTGATTCCAAGAATTTTAAGAGTTGCTGACCTGCAAGTAAAGTTCAGGTACCCTAGTCAAGTGTTCAAGGGTATCTGGAATTTACTTTTGCCATAATATTACCATTTTATCTTAATTCAGCATTCTGAACTTTAAAACTAGGTAAGTGCATCTTTCAGCTGTTTCTGGATTCTTTGTACAATCTTAGCTTCAAGCTTTCACTTGTGTTTTTTGTACTGCCCACCATCTTCCCTTCCCAAGAAGTTTAGCCCTTCAGAGTTCTGCCTTCTCGGTTCCCTTTCTGATTTATCTGAACTATATTGATTTCCTTCTTTATATTCTAGTGGTATTGATTGTCTTATTTCTGCATTTAAATTTATATTTCTGGGGCCACGAGATGACTCAGTAGAATAAGCGCTTCCCTGGCAAGCGCAAGGGCCTGAGTTCAATCCCCAGTTCTGCCC